GAGGGAGAGAGAGGATGAGAGACAGGGAGGAGGGAGAGAGAGGATGAGAGACAGGGAGGAGGAAGTGAGAGGCTGGAAGGTGGGGAGGATTACGGAACGGTGTCAGGAGGCGGCGATGGCCGTGCCGCCGCCCAGCTTGACGATCATTTGCTGGCAGTCGTTGCAGGAGCGCTGGTCGCCCACCTTCTCCAGGGTGCGGGCAGCCTCAGCCAGCAGCACTGCCCGCTGTCCCGGGGAGGAGAGGAAGGAGAGGGGAAGGTGGCGGCAGGCCAGCAGGATGGCAGTGGCCCGCTCACGCTGGCCGGGCCAGGCGTCCACCTCGCCTGTGGGAGCAGTGAGAGAAGCATGTGGTCCTGCTCACGGGGGCCCGACAGCACTGTGCCCAGTGCTTCCCAGGAGTCCGTCCTCACAAGCACCTGTGAGGAGGTTCTGTCCCCCTCCCCAGGCCCAGCTCAGCTAACAGCTGCACGGTGCTGACCACAAGGCCTGGCTCCAGCACCCATGCTGCCCCTCTCAGGGTAGGAGCCGCACTCTGCTGCACTAGGGCTCCAGCACACACCCAGCCCTTCTGGCTCTCGGAGCCAGCACCCACTCCCACACCCCCACGGCACTGCCTGGCCCTGGCAGCAACCCTCCAAATCAAGCCTCATCCTCACTGCCGTCTCCCAGCCACCCCTGAGAACTTGCACACAAACCCTGAGGTTCAGGGGGCAAAAGCCATGCTCGAGGCCACTGTGCCAGAGCAAGGCCTTCGAGCTGGGTGCTGGCAGACTCACCGTGCTTGGTGTTCTGCATGGTGCGCCTCCGCAGGCTGTGCTCCAGCAGCCGGTGGGTGCGGGTGGGGCTGGCTCCTGCCATCAGGCGGACGGTGGCCTCGTGCAGGAACACCTGGGGGAGACACAGTCGAGCCCCAGGTCATCAGGTGTCCACTGCCCCAGTGGGTCCCTCTCCCTTTGCCATCTCTTCTGCCACCTGATGACACCCCTTTTCCTCCCCATACTGCCCTGCCTCACTCGCTCCTGAAAGCAGCCTCTACTGTTCCGCACTCAAACCCTGAGCCAGGCCTAGCCAGGATCCTGGGGGAGCAGGAGGGACGAAGAAAAAAGCAGAGGTCAGCGGCAGGGTCACAAGTGAGGCCGAGAGACTGGGGCACAGGGCCCGTGTTCCCCACTGGAGATGAGGGAGCCCCGCTGCACCCCTGGGGCTGGGAGACAAGTGACCTGGTGAAGGCACAAGTCCTTCAAGGCTGCCTCCAGCTTGAAAAGAGGACAGAGGAGGTGGCAGGGACAAGAGTGCTGGGACCAGGGAGGTGCAGGGTCCTGTCTCCTTCCGTTTCTTCAGAAAGAAAGAGGCTGGAAGGTTCCAGGAGAAAGCCTGCAACTCTTATGTAATGTATGTCACGGGGGAGCGAGGGGGAGGCTCCTTTACATCCTATGCTGTCTGTGGGGAGGGTCTCGCATGCGCCCGTAGCAGGAGGCGACAGGGGGCCTACGAGGGGTCCGAGCAGGAGAGTGGCAGGAAGGAAATGGCATTTAAAGAGGACTTCGATGCCAGCTGCCCCCGAGCAGATGGAAGGCGGCCAGAGCGGCTACCAGAAGGCAGGAGGCAGGGCTGGCCCAGGCCCCAGGACCCACTTCCACTTTTCCACAGCAAGGGCTGATCTCAGACGATGACATTTATCACCTGCTGCGTCTGGCCTGCTTGTGTGCACTAGAATGCGAGTGACAGAGGGGCACGAGTCTAAGCTCGTGAGGCCCACGGCACCCAGGGTGGCGAGTATGGGGGCTGCACTGGTTTCCAGGGCAGCAGCCTCCCTCAGGGCCCTTCTCCCGTCTTGTGTCCTGCCACACAGCCCCCTTCCCCCACTGGCACTTATGACCTCGTCATTTGACTTTCTGGAAAATAATTCAGGTAACAGTGTCCAACATATCACTCTAATTAGCAATAAAAATATAACAAACAAGGAAATGATCTGAGTCCAGCAAGCAGTCACACGGCCGTCCTCAGAGACCCTGGAGACTCCTGTGGCTGGCACTGGTGGTAAGCCAGGCAGCAGAGCCCAAGGGTTCAGAAAAAATCCAAGTGGACTTCCCCTGAAATGCAGTTCGAAGAGAGTGTCCGTCCCTCTGAAACCAGTTACCTGCATCCAAGAGGGGGGTCCTCAGGCTCCCACCCTGGACAAGTCAGAAGGCCCCAACTTAACTCCCGTGCCCTCCAAACCCTGCCCATCACAGCGCTGTCTGGTGGGTACAGCTCCATGCTAGCTGCTCTCTGCAGGCACAGGGTGGCCTGCTCACCGCCACACTCCAGGGCTGGGCACGCAGTAGGTACTCAACCAACCTGTGATGGGCAGAGGAGGGCATGGCGCCCAGCCTGGTGTTGGGCCTGACGCGTCACCTGGCTGACCTCAGAGGGCCAACTCCACAACTACGCGCTGGCGCCTGTGCTGGGTTCCAGGGACTGGCCCACAGCCCATACCCTTGCGAAGCCCAGCAGGGAGCCTGATAAGGGCCCCAGTCATCTCCTGCTCTCCCCAGCCGCTGGGCCTCACCTTGCGGTATGCCGGGCGGAAGCTGTGTGCCAGCCTACGCAGGCTGCCCAGGTCCCGCTGGAAGCCAGCCAGCTCAGCGCCCGACGCCTGGTAGGTCTCGCCCAGGGCCTGGCTGGCGCCCGCCTGCTTCTGCCAGAGTACAGTACGCAGGGACAGCAGCAGGTCACAGGTGAGCAGCTGGACCACCTGTGGGAGGGCCAAGAGGGAGGTGCCAGGTCAGTGGCAGGGGTCCCAGCCCTGGGTGGGTGGGTGTGGGGGGGAGGTGGAGAGCCCCAGGTGGGGGCAGCCCGGCAGAGCCCCAGGGAGGGAGAGGGGAGCTGGAAGTGAACTTGGCCTCACTTCATCTAACCCTTTCCATGGCTCCAGGAGGTGGGAGAGGTATTTTCTTCCATTCTGCAGGTGAGAGTCGAGGCTCACAGAGGCACAGGAGTTTGCTTGGGGGACACGGGGACAGTGGCAGGGGCAGGAATGAAACCCTGAAAGGCTCAGGTTCTTCCCACCCCAGTGGAGGCCCCTCAGGCTGGCCCGGAGGTGACACGTGGCTTTCCCTTCCTCCAAGGCTCTGGATGAGGTCAGGCTGCCTGTGCTGTGCAGGCCCTGCTGACAGCCCCAAAGGGGCATGGGTGAGGACCCCCCTCAAATGAAGCTGGCACGTCTAGGATGTCGGCACCCAAGGGGCACCTGTGGACCAGGAAGCAGCACGGCCACCAGGTTCCACGGGGTCCCCTCCTCTTCCCACACTCCCACCAGCGAGTCCCAGTCCCTAGGGCAGCCACAGCCATTTGCCCCCCAAGAATGCACTGAGGCAGCCTGGTTCTCTTACTGAGACAAATCTTAAAGGCTGACAAACAGAAAAGGCAAGCAGCGAGAGGCGGCTCTCCTATCCTGCCTGCAGGGGCTCCAGCTCAGGGGTCTGGGCCCTTTTGCACGCTGCCTGTCGCTGTGGGCTGGGGCCCTGTCCTGGGTTCTGCACACTGCCTGTGACTGTGGGCTGGTACCGTTCCAGCTTCTGCATGCTGCCTGGACCTCCAGAGCCCAGTGCCTGGGCCACTTGACATCCTCTAGCCAGAAGTGGCAGCCTAGTCACCCAGGGACCAAATCCCAGTGAGGGTTGAGTCTGAGCCCCAGGCCTCTCCCTGCCCCCCCTCCCGGAGTTAGAGCATGCTCCTCCAGGTGAGCAGCCAGCTGACGAGCTGGTGTTTCCCTTCCAGTTGTGTGTGGGCCTCCTAGGTGGGCCATGCCATATGGCCCGATGGTGACTTAGTGACCATGGTGCCCTCTAGTAAGGAACCCTGCCTGGCGCAGGTGGGGAGGTCTTCTCGTGGGCGGGTGGGTGGGCAGGCCTCTGGGATGCACTGTGGGAACATTGCATGGTGCTGCAGAACATGCAATGCAACTACAATGCACCCCAGCTGCCCGCTGGGGTGTTGCCGCTGCTCGGCGGGCTGCGAGGAGGCAGGGCCGGGGGGATCCTGGGGCTGCAGAGTGCTGTGGGCAGGACCTGGGATTCAGGGGGCCTGGCACAGGGGCAGGTGGGAACACACCCACCCCCGGGGACAAAAAGAGAGCCCAACTTGGCCAGTTGGCCACGTTTTTGGAAAAGGAGGTACTCGGACAACCCCAGGCGCTGGGTACGCTCAGGTCTGGTTGGCTCCTCACTAACCAGAGCTGAGCACCTCCCCGAGGGGTGAAGATGCTCCCCACTCACTTGGTTGAGGGTGGGGTCGGAGGCGGCTCCGCTGACATTGAGGCTGCTCCACAGGTGGCTGCTGGCCCTCTCACAGTGGCAGAAGCTCTGCTGCCCGTCAGCCTTCCCTGAGAGTGAGGCATGCATGGCTTTGCAGGCATGGAAGACAGCCTTCACCAGGGGGCTCCTGCGGCGGGAGAGGTGAGGTCAGCACTCAGGGTGGGGTGGGGGGGTGGGCAGGTATGTCCCTCGGTAACATGAGGCAGAGCCGAGCTGGGTGCACGGGCCCCGGTGACCGCTAACCTCACGACACCGTGACGTCAGGCCCAGCTCCAGGACTGACGTGGCAGGCTCGAGCCTCCTCTGGCTGCCCGCCCTGGGTCAGGCCCTTCGTTCCCACCTCCGCTCCCCCACAGACCAGGCTGCCTTCGAACTACTGGCTTATGGGCCTCTCCCCCACCTGACGCTGTGTGAACTCTTGAAGGCTGACCCCAGCCTGGAACCCCTCCCCATGAAGCTGAAGGGATGTGCTGCTTTGCAGACCCTAGAGAGATGGCAGGAGCAGGCTGGCCTGCCAAAGGCCCACAGGAGGCGGAGCCTGTGCTGGGCAGATTGGACCTGCGACGTCCCAGAGGCCTGCCCTGGCCCCATCCCCACCCCTTTACCCCCTCACCCGGCTTTGTATTTTCTTCCCAGCACTAAGCACCACCTTCGTTAATTCATACATCTGTTTACTGCCAGAGCCTAGAAGGGGCAGGCACCCAGCAGGTCCTCAGGGAAGTATTTGCTGAGGGATGATGGCATCACCGAGGAGTGCAGGAGACCCCTGAAGACTGCGTGTGGCCGATGAGGAAGGAATCCTCCAGGCTCAATCCCCTGGAGGACCATCTTTCAAACAACCTGGGCCTCAGTTTCCTTATCTTATAAGGGGGTCACAATGCCACTGGCTGCTATCTACGGTGTCATGAAGTGCTAGCCCTGTTACCCGCACCTGCCCTCTAAGGGACCAGTCCCCAGAATCCTAGTGTTCAGCTCTCTGCAGAACTTAGCCTCTGTTCAGAGCAGGGGGGAGAGGATGGGGGTGGGGCAGGGGAGGGTTCTCACAGCATTGTTATCCCTGAAGAGCAAAGGGACCCAGGAGCGACTGAATTCAGGTGGTGGGAGGCCTGCTGAGGTGTCTTAGCTGTATACTGGGGCTCTGCTGCTTAGAAGTGGGGTGACTTTAGACAAGTTACCTCCCTGAGCCTCAGTTTCCTCAGGTGAGTTGGCTGGGAGAGTGTCCACATGGGTGAAGCTCTACTACAGGGCTGGGGTGCCTGCTGGGTGCTCACTGGTAAGGGGCTTAAAATGGAGTTACAGAAGTGAAATTGGGGGTGTCAGGCCTTCTTTAGGGAACACATGATTTCAAACCTGCTGAGACCCACTTTTCTCAGTTCCCTGTTCTCCCAGTGAAGAGCTGCTTGGTGGGACAGGATAGTCTTGGATCTAAGTCCAGGACCTCGCTGGGCCTTGCTGCCGTGGAGCGCTTTACAATTTCTCTAAAGTGGCAGGAATGTCAGGAACACTCAGATCCAATCAGGAGCGGTCTGGGTGTCAGTGGGCACGGCTGCCTGTCACAAAGGGCCGAATGCCCCCAAGAAGCCAACACGAGTCCCCAAAGCAGAAAGTCAAAAGCTTTTGGCCTTTTAGTTATGGAACAAAGTTGATACGGCTGCCGGCGGGGACAGTGGGTGGCTGAAAGGGAACTGGATGAAATGCTGGCATGTGGGAGGGCCACTGGCCCCACAGGCTTCCGGGGAAACGCTCACTTCTCTGGGTGGGCCTCGAGACGCCGCACTGCCTGCCCCACAGTGACGCTCCTGAACGTGCAGGGACACCACTCTCCCCTGCACCCTGGGGGTCCGAGGAGGCCACAGGAGTCCTAGAAGAGGTAGTTCCAGCTGCTGTGGTGACTGCTGAGCTGTGCCCAGCATGACACAGGCAGATGGACGTGCTAGCCATGCGCGCTTCTCCACAGTGCCCCCTTCCTGTCTGTCATTCAGTCCCTGGCAGCCTGACCCCTCACCCCAACACAGCCACCCAGACCTGCCCCCTCCCACTAACGTGAGTGAGCCTGGCACACTGGCTTTTTGGCCACCCAAGGAGGCCTACGCACTCGGTCACTTCCAGAGCCTTGGGGACATGCTCTACTTCGGCAAAATGAGAGCGCACGGCTGTGTCATCTCCCTGGAGCCAACTGATGGCCATGGTGACCGCGGATGTCCACCACCGACAGATGATGTCTGGACCTGGAGGGGAGCAGTACCACACGTCATTCCAGCACCCACAGAAGCCAGCTCTGCACCGCTCAGCCCAGCCAGCTGCACCTGTGCCCGCGTGGTGCACAGCCCCCTCACCTCTGGAGAGGGCCCAGGGGCCCCGGCTGCCCTCACACAGTTCTGTTGAGAACATCAGCCAGCGCTGTCTTTGGCAAATGCTTGGCTGTATGTGTCAAGAGCCTTAAAAATGCTCACTCTTGTTGACCTAGTAATCCCACCTTTGGCAATTGATCACAACGAGAAAAGCCGAACAAAAAATAGTTTCACGAAGATGTTCATTGCAATGTTTTTAAGTAAACAGATAAGCACAACCTAAACTCCCAATAGCCATGAAAAATGGTGTTTCCAAAGCATTTATCGTAACAGGCTCACGTTAGAATCTTCTAAGTTTTCTTCTCTCTGAGCCTAGTTTCCTCAACTACAAAATTATGATACTAGTACCTCACACAGCCCCCAGGGATGGTCATGGAAGATAAAAGGCACAAGAGCTCATCCTTTTCTACACTCGAAAAGAGAGAGAGGCTGCAATGTCAGTGGTCACGGTGGGCTGGCTACTGTTCTGGGGTCCTTCTCTCCCCAGGAGTGGCCAGAGGTAGCCCAGCACCCCTGTCTCGCCCAGAGGCCCCAGAAGTTCGAGAGGTAGCAGCTGATGCGTCGTCACTCTGATGGCAGTTTAGGGACAGAAGCAAAGACTGTCCTGGTGCACGGTGAGTCAGCCAGCTGGGCTGTGTCACCCAAGGCAACAGGCAGCTGGAGAGGGTACAGGTGCCCAGTGAGAGGTCTCTGCAGCAGCCGTGTCAGACCCATGAGCGGTGTCAGGGGGTCGCTGCACATCTCAATGGTGAGCTCTGCCAGCCCCTGGTGCCTGGGCCACCTGCCGCCTGTTCTTCTGGGCATTTGGTAAGGATTGTGACCTGTCCCACCCAGCCACTGTCCCACTTCTCAGGACCGTTATTTCCTGCCCTCAGAATGTGACCCAGGAAGGGTAGCTGTGGGTTGGTGCTGTGTGGGATTCTGAGGAGACTCTCAAGGGTGCACTCAGAACTAAGCCTGGGCCGTCCCTCCAGGATAAGGGGCTGTGACGGACTGGATTAAGGGGCCCTGAGAATTGTGGAACCCACCGCAAGGTACGTACCGAGGGCTGACTTGAGCACGGAGCTGCTGGAGAATGGCGGGGTCACAATCCCCACGGAGTCCACAAAAGAATTCAGTAATTTCAGGTACTCCAGAGCACTGGAGAATTCACTGGAAAGAAAACAAAGGGCCTCATGTACAGCACAATGTACGCAAAGGCCACGCTCATGGCCTGGCTGCTCAGCCCCTCAGGTCGAAGCTCCCTAGCTGCGGAATATGCCTCTTTCTCCCTGAGGGCCACTTCTGCAACCCCCCTCCACTCACGCCCCATGGCCCCCTTCTTCCCAGGTCTCTGGGCTGTTATTAACCCACTGCCCTTCTCTAGCCCTTCCTGTCCATCTCTCCTCAACGAAATCAGACTCCCCCCAAAGCTCAATTCAAAAGTCACCCCTCTCAGAAGGTTTCTCATCTCCCAGGCAAACTGCCCCTCCCCAGGTCACTCTAGCTAGGACCTGGTCCTTGTACTGGGTTGACTTTGGCACCTGTACACCTCTGAGGTCTTACTCTGTGAAGGAAAAACCAAAACCCGTTGCTGTCGAGTCGATTCTGACTCATAGCGACCCTATAGGACAGAGTAGAACTGCTCCACAGGGCTTCTAAGGAGCGGCTGGTGGATTTGAACTGCTGACCTTACAGTTAGCAGCCAAACACTTAACCACTGTGCCACCAGGGCTGTACCCCATACATATGTAAGAGTTAGAATCGGCCTGGCATGCTCAATGCAGGTCTGAGTCCCAAAGGTGCCTGCACCCTGCTTTCATTCCTGTCCCCTCAACAGGCCATGCCCCCCAAAAGGCAAAGCAAACTAATCAAGTCCTTGACTTGCTCCACTTGGTGGACGGATGGGGGCAGGAGTCTGGGGGAAAAGGCCAGATCAGAGCTCAGCGTACGGCTCAGGTGCTAGGTCTGATAAACATACAGGAATAACTTGATTTCCTGCCGATCCTCCACTACCGCTCATTTCCTTCTAGAAGTGCGGGCTTAAGCTCCTGGCCCCTGAGACAGGGGCTGCTCTGGGGACCTCACCAGCTCTCTTCTTCCTGCTCGCCAGCCTTCTTCTTGGCTTGAGGCTTCACTAAGGCTTCCACAGCTCGCTCCAGCAGGTTCTTGCAGAATGCCTGATGGACCTGGGCAATGGGGTCAGCTGGAGAAGGGGAGAAAGGCCAAGGAGAGGGGTTAAATGGGTCTTCTCTGTGGGCCTATTTTGTCTTTCCAGAGAGACAGAAGGGTGAGGAGAGGAACCCTGAAATAGGTGTCCCCTCAGAAGGGGGATCAAATCCCCTATCCCCACCCCAAACCCAGAGCTATCTTGCTAAACAGTCTGAAAGATGGGGGAGGGAAGGGAGATTATCACCCGTGCGCACGCACCCAAAACTATAGGTTCTGGTTTCGCTCCAGTGGCGTGTGTGTGCCTGTGTGTGGTATGCTACTGTGCCTCTTGGCACGGTGCCCAGTACTTCAACTCAAGGTTGGGAGCTGGAGGGTGGTAGCCTTGAGCCTTGCCAGCAACAGCAAGTGGGAAGGTGGACAACTACACCAAGTCTCAGAGGTATCTTCTCTTCTCGTGGCTCAGGACAGCAGCCAGCCCTAGACGGGGCTGCTACTGCCACCACACTCACGGCAGCGAAGAACCTACTCCTCTCTTCTTCTAGACCCTTGTCAAGGAACCTGTGAGCAGCAGTGATCTGGCCGAGCTGCTTAAGCAAGGGGTCTTTCAAAGCTATGACAGCTGACTGTCACTGGCAAGTCCCTTTATTAGCAGGCCCAAATCATGGCATCATCAGCCCTCCCCTCTCACACATCATGAGCATCTGGGCCTCAGTCTGATGAGCAGGTGAACACTCAGGAACACACTCTGGGTGACAAGGCCTAGGGCCAGAGACTGTAAGAGGTGAAAACGCCAGGGGAAAGTCTATGCTGCAGACACGAAGTCCTCCATGGGGACAGGGCTGGAAGATTTAGGATTGTTTTTGCTTCCATCCTTACTTTTTGGTGTTGCACACAATTCTTATATTGATCAATGGAGTTATTATTTTAAAAAGAGAGAGGGGAGCCTCCCCCAAATGTTTGATAAACACCCTATAACTATGACACACCGCACTCTCCCAAGGCGCCCAATTTAGGCGGGTGGGGATAAGCCAAGCAGAAAACCACTGGCTGCTCCAGGTCTGAGTTAAGGCCAACCAGCCTCCACCACTCTGAGGAGGGCAAGTCAACTCCAATCATGATCAAACGTCAGGGACAGAAAGCCAGTGTCTCCTCCCACTGCCTGGAGCCCGGTCCCCGCCACCACTATGAGCAGTTGATCACTGCCTGTCACCTACTGTTCCCTAACGGTTCCATTTATGTCCGCCTGCATTCCTGAGGAGACTGGAAGCCCGGCGGCTGGTCCGCGAGCCCCACAGCTGCCGTCCCCCGAGCCCCGAGCCAGGGCTGAGAAGCCAGCTGGGCTTCATCCCAGGCATCGCACGTGGCAGTGTGCTATAAGGACCACAGCCAGCTTAGTCACTGACCCGGTGCGTGACCTCAGGCGGTTACTTAACCTCCCTGAGCCTCAGTGAAAAAGGCAGAGAATAAGACTGAGAGGACTGTGTCCCAGGTGTCTGGCGCCCGGCAGCCCTGCAGTACCGGGGCTCTCCTGGCTTTCTCGTCTCACCTGGGTTCCTCTGGGCACAGTACAGGCTCTCCTTGGCTGCTGACTTGACTGACCAGCTTCGTTCCATGAAAAACTTCTGGCCCAGGGGGTGGCAGAGCCAGCGCAGGGAGTCAGGGACGGCGCTGCGCTCGGGGCCACACAGGCTCTGGGCTCGGCTGAGGAAGTAGCTCTGTGGAAGGACAAAGACTAGGGTGACAACAGGGTGGCAGAATGCTGGCAACAGCCCCCATGGGCCATCAGAAAGCACCAAGTTGGTGGCATGTGTGTGCGTGTGTCCGTCTGGGGAAAGGAGATCAGAAGGAAGGTCAGGCCCTTTACAAGTAGCTGCAAGGAAGTAATCCCCACCACTGGAACTGGGGCGAGCGGTGGTCAGGCTTGACGATCAGGCACAGGCCCGGCAGGCAGGCAGGCAGGGCCTCAAGGTACACGGGGCTCCCGCTGCCTCCTACAGTGCCGCATTCGCCGTGTGTGCATGTTCACCGCGTGCCGCGTTTACCGTTCGCTGCGTGTGCCACATTGATCACATGTGCCGCATTCGCCGTGTGTGCACGTTCACCATGTGCCGCGTTCACCGTTCGCTGCGTGTGCCACATTTATCACATGTGCCGCATTCACCGTTTGTGCCACATTCACCGTGTGTGCTGCACTGTGCCACACTCGCCGCGTGTGCCGCGTTCACTGTATGGAAGGGGCTGGGAGTGTGGCTGTGTGGGGAGCGGATGCAGAGGCCACTGCTGCACTTCCACCCTCAGCCCAGGAGAGCCGCTGCGCTGGGCCAGGCAGCCCCCTTGATCCCGGGACCCAGCTTCCTTGAAAGCCGGGGAACCTTGGGCTGTGGACTTTTCCTCATCTGTCATTTTAATTACGTATCTTTAAGAGTATTTTTGGCAAAATTTTATTCTGCTTTAATTAATTTTTCATTTCTTTTACCTTGAACGTGACAGGTTTAGGACAGTGCCTGGCACACAGTAAGCAGTCAGGGACCGTTGTTTCCTCTTATTATCATACAGATAGCTCTCGAAAGGCAAAGGGGCGGCTGTGAGATTCATCCTTGACTTACGCAGGGGTGCATACGTGTACTCATGTATGTATGAAATGCCCTCCCTCCAAAGCTGGCTCTACAAGGGCTTGTCCAGCCCCCTACAGAGGCCCCTCCACCACCCCTGGATGAACCCCCAACGTGAACACCAGCCTGCAAAAAACGACCATGGGTGTGACTTTGAAAGCTCTTTGCTGGGCTATTCAAGAAGCCAGTGTCCCAGCCTCCCCGGCCCCTCTGCCGCAACCACCAGAAGAACATCATTCCAGGGCCCCAGTGACAAGAATTACAGGGCCAGTGCTGTCCACTCCTGTTCTGAGAAATTCCAACATTTTGTGAGTGAACAGATCCTAACTCCAAAATCCACGATTTCCCACCCATTCAGTACAGGCTAATCTGAACGAGCACAGACACAGAGAGCTCCGGGCACCTGAGGTGGAGCTGCCCGGATGAGGCCCCTGGATCTCAACCTTCACACGCATGTCTGCCTCCACAAGGGGGCCGTTCTTCACTGTCTGGGCTCAGTCTGAGGGTTCTGACCTTTCCTGTGCTCTAAGCAGTCATCAGCTAATGTAACAGCTTCAGAAGACGTGAATGCCAGGGTCAGAAATAGTGCTGCCAAAGTGCCACTCAAGGAACGCAGACCGAGAAGACGGCCTCTCTGCAGGGCAATTCAGAGACAGCTGTCGGAATACGAGAGAAAACAACCTGGCCAAACTGCTCTATAGACACACACTAACATTACCACGGGCAGTGTATGGGCGAGGTGGGAAGAACTTCACTCAAATCTCATGTCCCAGGCCAGGGCACTGAGGGCCTTTCCTTCTCTTTGCTGACCAACATCCTTAAAAACCATATTGGAGAGCAAAGGTAGGAAATTCCATGACCTTCTCCTGACCCTCCACAAAGCATTCGTGGAATCTGAGCTTGTAACTGCAATAGACACAACAGCAGCTGAGGAGACTGGAAGGGACACAGGCTGGGGTGCATGGTGGCGAGTCCAGGGCCTCTAAGGTCCCAGGACCTGCTAGCAGTCGCTCCTTGACCACACACCTGATAAGCAAGGGAGCCTGGTGGCTGCTCCAGGGGAAACCAAGGACCAAGTGGTCCCTCAAAAGGGCCCAAGAGTCACACACAGAAGAGGAAATAAAGCTCGGTCAGGTACTACTGCAAGACGAACCCAGAGAAGCCATTTAGAACATCATTAAGTGAAAATACATTTTTAAGCTTAATTCTCAATAAAGAAAAGAAAAACCTTACTTATAACAAAAATCAGTGTGTTGTGGCGGGTACTTGAGTTTAGTGCTTGAAACTAATAAGAAATATAAATCCTGCGACACCATCATCCACAGTATTACTTCTGTGAGGAAAATTGGGAAAATAATTTTTGTTCTTTTAATTTTCTTGGCATTATAGTTCTATGATAATCTTCCTAAATTTTATAGACCCTAGAATTCTCCCAGGCTGAGGCCTAGCAACTCCTTCCCCTATAACTCACCTGGCTAATCACCCAGCATGAGAGAGGCTTAGCAGGAGACCTGCCACCAGAACTACTTAAACCCTGAGATCCCCTCCTTCCCCCGCACGGGCCAATTCCAACTCCAGGCTGTGTCCTCCCACACGGCTAGTCCCATGGTTCTCATACTGTGTGCGAGGGTGCCCCCAGGGCCACAGTGAATTTACAGGGCACTCAGGGATATTTTAAATTTTTGAGGGAAATACAGCAATACTTAACATTGGTTGACACCGTGCAAACTCGTCGATTGAGGTCGTTCACAGTCTCAACATCAGATCCCGCTCCCTTCCTTTGCATGATGCTTTATTTTTACAAAGCTGGGTTTTCGTGAGTACTGTGTAAAACTCAATGTGGAAGAGGACACAAGGGTGGTGGTGTCCAATCTGACCCCAAAGTTTGAGAAGCTGTGTAGTATCCAACAGGTGTATGCATCCTATTAATAAGTAACTGTGGTTATTTAAGAGTGAAATAAAAATATTATTTCTGCTTTCAATTTTGTGTATTATTTTCTCAAATGACTACTAAGTTGCTAGGATGTAATTATTAAGTAGCTCAGACCTAACCATTTAACAGAATTGTCTAGGGGAGCTGCGACGAGATCGTGAGACACGAAGGGAGCCCTGAACAAAGAGTTAGGACCCTCTGGTCTAAACCATTTTCACAGAGGCCAGGTCTCCACTTGCCCTCAATACCCCGGTGGAGACTCATTTACTAGCTAAATATATCTCACCAAATTCAAAGTTCCTCCTCTTTAAGAAAGTACTGTCTGGAGCAGCAAATGGGTGAAAGAGGCAGCTACCTGATTAGATCTCACAGTTAACTTTTGCCCATGACAGGATTGTACTAAGATACTGCAAAATTCGGCAATGACCTTCAAGTTTCCAACCATTTCTATCCTTTGATCCAGCATCACCACTACTAGGGGTTTGGCCTGAAGAAATGTTTTCACAGTTGTGTGAAGACAACATACACGGAAACTCCCTGCAGCACTGTTTGCAATGGCAAATGCTGGAGACAACCCAAATGCCCACAGCAGAGAAGTGGCTCAATCACGATCGTATTTACATACACTGGAATACCAAATACCTCTGCAGAATAACGAGGCTGACAAGGATGTCTGGGATTTATCATTATATCGAAAGGGGCAAAACAGGGCTTATGGTATGATCACATTTAAAAAAATTATTATGCATATACGTTGGTATGTGCAGAAAATAAACTTCTGAGGAAATACACACCAAACTGTTCACTGCTTGTCAGGCAAGCCAAATATTTTTATAAGGGAACCATTTTCCCAATCTTTAGCTTCCATACATTCGCCTTCCTCACGTGGGCTCTTGGAATCCCTTTAAAGAGTAATAAGGACAATCAAAACCCCAGTGGGATTTCTGGGATGACAAGATGATTTTAAAATTTATGTGGGAAGGTAAAAAGCAGAAAATAGTCACTAAAGTGGGAGGACGGACACTTCCAGATATCAAAACATGAGAAAACTCAGCCATTACAGTGGTGTGATGATGGAGTAATGGAACAGACTAGAGAGTCCAGAAGTAGACCTGCCACTTATGGACACTTGATTTATGATAAAGCTGCCACTCAGTGCAGTGGGGGATGGTGTCTTTTTAATAACAGGTTCAGGGTCAGGTGGCTGTCCGTATGAAAAAAACGGAGCTTGCACCTCTACCTCCAACTCACACAAGTCAATTCCAGGTGGATTTTAGGCCTCTAAGAAAAAAGTACACAATGAAGCTTCTAGTAGACAACATAGGAGAATACCTTCATGACTCTGATGCAGGGCAAAGATGAACAGGATCTAAAATGTCTAACTGGAAAGGAAAAGACTAATACTCTGATTTCATTACAATTAAGAACTTCTGGTGAGCGGCCATCTAAAATACTTCACTGGTCTCACCCCTCCGGGAGCAAAGGAGAATGAAGAAAACTAAAGCTACAAGGGAAAGATTAGCCCAGAGGACTAATGGACCACAACTACCACGGCCTCCACCTGAGTCCAGTACAGCTAGATGGTGCCCGGCTACCACCACTGACTGCTCTGACAGGGATCACAATAGAGAGTCCTGGACAGAGCTGGAGAAAAATGTAGAACAAAATCCTAACTCACAAAAAAAGACCAGACTTACTAGCCTGACAGAGACTGAAGAAATTCTGAGAGTATGGCCCCCGGACACCCTTTTAGCTCAGCAATGAAGTCACTCCCGAGGTTCACCCTTTAGCCAAAGATTAGACAGGCCTATAAAACAAAACGAGACTAAAGGGGCACACCAGCCCAGGGGCAAGGACTAGAAGGCAAGAGGGAACAGGGAAGCTAGTAATAGGGAACCTAAGTTCGAGAAGGGAGAGTGTTGACATGTCGTGGGGTTGTTAACCAATGTTATAAAACAATATGTGTACTACCTGTTTAATGAGAAGCTAGTTTGTTCTGTAAAACTTCATCTAAAGTATGAAAAAAAAAAGAAAAAACCAACTGATCTAATCAACCAGGAAAAAAAAATTAAGCACTTCTGTTCACCAATAAACACCAGTGAGAGAGAAAAGGCAGCCCACAGAGTGGGAGAAAATATTTGCAAAGGACATATCCAACAAAGGATCATATCCAGAATATCTGAAGAACTGCCAATTAATAAAAAGACATCCCATATAAATAATAGGTAAAGGACTTGAATAGGTTTTTCACAAAAGAGACTATCCAAACTGCCACAACACTAATCATCAGGGAAATGCAAATTAAAAGCCATGAAATACTGCGAGAATGGCTAGGAAAAAAATGACATTATCATGTGCTGATGAGGCTGTGGAACAACCAGAACTTTTATACACTGCTGCTAAAGTGGAAATTGGTACAACCACTTTGGAAAACAGCTGGGCAACATCTATTACAGCTGAACATACGCAAATCCTGACTCAGCAATGCCATTCCTAGGTATACACTCAACAGAAATGCAGTCATGTGTTCACCAAAAGACATGTACATACAGGAATGCTCACGGCAGCACTAACTCAAATGGCCAAAACCAGGATCAAAAGTCCATCTCCAATAGTCTAGTCATTTAATGGGACACTACAAAGGAATAAGAATGAATGATCTATAACTACGTGCAACATCAATGAATCTTGTATCAGTAATGCTGAGTGAAAGAAGCCAGACACAAAAGAGCACATATACTGTATGACTCTCCTTATCCGAGGTTTAAATAGAAGCAAAACATCTGAGGGGTTAGAAAGCAGGACCATGGCTACCCTTGGCTGGGAGTGGGTGGCGCACGGCTTACTGACTGCAAAGGGGCCCATGGGAGGCTCCTAGGGGCTGGGTCATGTTTTTTTTTTAATTGTACTTCAGGTGAAGGCTTACAGAACAAATAGTTTCTCATGAAACAGTAGTACACATATTGTTTCATGACAGTGGTTAACAACCCCACAACATGTCAACCCTCTCCCTTCTCGACCTTTTTTTTTTTTGGTGAAAATATACATAGCCAAATATACACCATTTCAAAAATTTCTACATGCCCAGTTCAGTGACATCGACTGCGCTCTTCCAATTGTGCTGCTATTCTCACTTTAGACGCAGGCTTACAGAACAAAATAGTTTCTCATTTAACAGTTAGTACACATTTCCCTATGACAATGGTTAATAACCTCACAACACATCAACACTATCCTTACTCAGCCTTGGGTTCCCTATCACCACCTTTCCTGTCCCCTTCTGCCTTCTGGCCCTTGTCCCTGGACTGCTGTGCCTCATTAGTACCATTTGGTTTTATGGGGCTGTCCACTCCCCAGCTGAAAGATGAACCTCGGAAGTGACTTCACCACTGAGCTAAAAGGGTACCTGGGGGCCATACTCTCGGGGTTTCTCCAGTCTCCTTTAGGCCAGTAAATCTGGTTTTTTTTTTTGTGAGTTAGAATTATGTTCTACATCCTTCTCTAGCTCTGTCCAGAACCCTTTGTTGTGATCCTGGTCAGAGCAGTCAGTGGTGGTAGCTGGGCATCATCTAGCTGTACTGGACTCAGTCTGGTGGAAGCCTTGGTAGCTGTGGTCCATCAGTCCTTTGAACTAATCTTTTCCTTGTATCCTGTTCTCTTCATTCTCTCTTGCTCCCAAAGGGATGAGACCAGTGGAGTATCTTAGATGGCTGCTCACAGGCTTTCAAGACCCCAGACGCTACTCACCAAGGTAGAATGTAGAACATTGTCTTTAAAAACTGTGTTATGCCAATTGAGCTAGATGTTCCCCGAGACCATGGTCCCCACAGCCCTCCGCCCAGCAATTCAGTTCCTCAGGGAGTTTGGATGTGTCTATGGAGCTTCCATGACCTTTCCTTGTACACATTGTGCCGGTTTCCCCTGTATTGTGTACTGCCTCACCCTTCACCCAAGATACCACTTATCTGTTGCTTATTTAGTATGTCCCCCGCCCACCCCTCTTATCCCTGATAACCAACAAAGATTGTTACATTTTGTGTGTGAACTTTTTCATGGGTTTTTACATTAGAGGTCTCATACAATATTTGTCCTTTTGTGATTGACTTATTTCACTCAGCATAATGTCCTCCAGTTTCATCCATGTTATGAGATGGTTCACAGATTCATTGTTGTTCTTTGTCATTGCATAGTACTCCATTGTGTGTATGTACCATAGTTTGTTTATCCATTCATTTGCTGATGGGCATCTAGGTTGTTTCCATCGTTTTGCTATTATGAACAACGCTGCCATGAACATAGGTGTGCATATGTCTATTCGAGTGATGACTCTTATTTCTCTAGGACATATTCCTAGGAGTGGGATTGCTGGATCGAACAGTATGTCTATTTCTAGCTTTCTGAGGAAGCACCATATCATTTTCCAAAATGGTTGTATCATTTTGCATTCCCACCAGCAGTGCATCATGTTCTGTTTCTTGATCTGCTGCTGGCTGTATGGGTGTGTTCACTTTGTGAAAATTCATGGAGCTAACTGTATGTACGATTTATGTACTTTTCTCTATGCGTATTATACCTCAATAAAAAGTTTCAAGACATGACAAACAACAGGCAGACTAATCTATGGTGACAGAATGCACAACAGTGGTTACCACTGCGGGGGGGTGAGTTGGAGGGGACCTAAAGGAGGCTTCTGGGAGTGCTGGTATTATGGGTTGACTTGTGTTCCCCTCAAAATACGTGCTGTAAATCCTAACCTAGTCACCCACAGGACATGTGTCTGCACCCTTATTCAATCCCAGCTCATCACCACCATTACTGAGATGTGAAAACTAAAACTACGATGGTCTGTTCTGAACATATCTGATGTGCTCAGCAGCATCCCCGAAATGGGTACTGAGTAAAACATGTCTGCTTCTGCCGAAGGAAGAGGAAGCCTGGGGAGGACCGGTTGGTAACAAGGGCCGTGGATTATGCCATTGTGATTCCCCAGGCCTGGCGTGCCTGGCACGCAGCCAGGCCCACTGGCGGTGGTGCTAGAGAACTGCAGTTCCCACCCTGTCTGACCCAAGCTCCTTGAGACACGCACTGTTTCTTACCTCTGGATCCACCGTGTGGAGACGGACACAAGGAATGCAATAAATATCTTTTGCATGAATGAAAGAACCAAGAGATACAACCAGATGATCCCAAGAATTTTTATGACCACTTGAAGAGCAGAAGAGCTACATATTAACCCCCAAGTTATGCGTCACTCTGCATACTGAACCAATCTTCTCATTGCAGGGCACCAAAATATCCTGGTTATGAGTCCACTAGCTAGTAAGGGCTGCGAGGGAAGGAATTTTGGTCTGGTTTGTTCACTGCTGTAGTAGTACCTGTGGAATGGCCGAAGGAAAGAACGTCTGCCTCTCTAGGTGGTGGGCACCTGAGGGCAGGCCCGGGCCTCTCATTCTGCACCCTTAGCACCTGGCTGGGGAACGTGCTCAGCAGAGGGACGCAGACGTGAAGGGAATGTACTTACGGCCAGGAAGCCCAGTTTGCCTCCACAGCGGGTCTGGAGCCCCATGGCAGCAGTCAGGTGGATCTCAACCAGCACGCTTGGTGGGATTTTCTCCTCCGCACACTCTGCCAGGTTGACAGCGCACAGAGCCATGTGCACGTCTGAACAGGCGGATCCCGCAGGAAGCTTCCCTATGGCGGCAGAAACACGCTTGTTGACAGATACCCCACACAGAACTCTCCCTGCTTTCTAGCACAATCAGTTGAACCAAAGGAGAAAGTGCATGAGCTCTGTGATCAGACAGCCCTGGGAGGAAGTCCAGCCTCCATGACTTACTAGCTGTGTGCTCCTTTCTGCCTCACAGGGTTGTTGGGGACAAGGGAAAACACACGCCCAGGGCCAGGCCCAGGGAAGGGTCAGGACTACAGGTCACCGGGCAGGACTCAGAGGCACACACTGCAGCATGTTCTAAAATAGTGTCGACATGGCCACATTCTGCTAATATAGTCCTGCACCTCCGAGGTTTCAAGGAAAAAAACCAAACCCATTGCCACTGTGTTGATTCTGACTCACAGTGACTCTACAGGATAGAGCAGAACTGCCTCACAGGGCTTCCAAGGAGCGGCTGGTGGATTCGAACTGCCGACCTTTTAGTTACCAGCCGAGCTCTTAACCACTGTGTCACCAGTGAAAAATTAAAAACCTGATTTGAATTTACTTTTATTAAAAAAAAACAAAAACAAAAAAAAACCCCACAAAACACAAGCATGTCCCCTTTTGAGGGGAGAAGTAACCCAAAACTGAGCCAACAACAGGGCTGGACACACCTTGGGTTAGTAGCTAGAAGGCCGGGAAAGGCTTGCCACACCGCCCTTGCACAGCCACTCAGCTGGGGGTGACCCTGAAGTCAGGGGACAAAGTGCTCCTCCTGGGCTGGGGGGCAAGCAGTCTCCTCACTTTGCTAAGGGGGAGGCGGAGCCTCAGGGCGGCCAGGGGACATGCCCCAAGTCAAAGGTCCAGACAGGCAAAGCCAGGCCTCCCCACCTGGCCCAGCCCAGCGTTCTTCCCACTGGGCCCCCTGCCTCCTGGCCTCTTTTTCAGAGCAGGAGACCTCAGCCTTCACACTTCATTTTGTACTGCTGTTATCTGTCTGTCTCCCCCAGGAGGCTTGATGTTTCACCCTCCAGGGACAGGGTGGAGGGCAGCATGGGAACCATGTTTTGTTCACCTCTACCCCCTCAGTGCCTAGAACAGGGCCTGGCCCAACAGTGCTCTGCTCAGTAAATGTGGAGTGAATGAGTGCTGTGAAGCTTCCCAGCTGGAATTCTCTAGAACATGACAGCTAGGAGAACCCAGCCTCCTGAGCCAAGACAGCGCATGGGCTAGTTCTATCCCTCAAACGGCACACTGAGGGCAAAGAAGGAAAAAGCAGGGAAGATCTGCAGATAGGGACCTGCTACTGAAAATCTACCGAGAGCCTAGGGGTTAAGACCCCACAACTGGCTCTGCAGCCTCAGGTCCTGTTCGCTCCTCTGCCCCGTGCCTCGTTACTGCCTCCACTTCCAGGCTGAAGCTCCGCCCAGCCACCAGGGCACTTCCAACACCTTCCTTTACCAAATCCTACTGTAACTGTCTGGCCCTGGTCGTACTGGACTCCCCAGCAGTAACCTCCCTTCTGGAACCTTCTCTATCCTCGCTGCCTGAGTCTCCTCTGACCTCTTCACCTGCTCCTTCTCAGAGAGCTCCTTCCTGTGGGTCCCCTCCTTTACACTGCTGGTGTTCTTGCAGATGCCCTGGGGCCCCTTTCCACCACACACCCTCTGTCAGTTCCCTCGGTCTTCAGTCTCATCTGTAGGCAAAGACCCAGATCACCCCTGAAGTGCAGACCCCGCACGCATGTCCACCTGCTACTGAACATTCCCCTGGGGTCTCACAGGCAGGAGCCTATCAAACTCATCTCCCTTCCTGGAAGCGTGCTCTTCCTGCTGTTCTCCCAGCCCTGTTGGTGGCACGAGTATTCACCCAGACCTCGAAGCAAGAAACCAGGGAACCCTCCTGTCGGCTGCTTTCCTTACCCATCACATCCAGTGAGTCTCTAAGTGCTGTCAATTCCACTTCCCAATTTCCTCTCAAACCTGTCCTCTTGGAATCTCTCTTCATTTCTGCAGCAGCTCCTGTGCGGCCTCCCTGACTCTTCAACCTCTCGGATCCACTCTCTACCTGCTGTCAGAGTGAACCTTCCAAACTCCAGAAGCACAACTCTGATCACATCATTATTTTCCTCATGCCTGTCACTGGCTCCTACCAGCCAAGCATCCAAACCTTTCACAGTCCAGACACCACGACCATCCCTCCCGCCCTGGCTCCCATCACTCTAGTTCTACCGAAACATTATTCTCCAGGGCCACCCCAGGCAGGGCGCCTCCTTGTGGACATCAGGGCCTTCCACAGAGCTGGTGAAGTCTATGCGCCCTTCCATGCAGAACACCAAGACCTGGTCTCCCCAGAAAGCCTTTGTCGAAACCTCCCCAACAAGTGCCCTCGCCTCACATTAGAATGTTTCTTCTGCCTTAAACACATTTGACTGTAATTCATTCAATTCTAATAGAAAGACCTGTCTGTCTTTCTAGTAAAGAGACTGGGAGTTACTAAACAAAATAACTTACATCACATAGAATTTAAAATGCCATCAACTTCAAGTCTCACCATTAAGTACCACCAAGAAGGAAAAAAAACCACACCAACCAAACCATTCCATGCCATTGTTCACAGGACACACCCGGGCACAGGGATAACGTGACACAGGGTGCACCCTAGAGTCGATGAACGTCAGCGACAAGCCACTCCACAGCTATGGGGAGGTGGAAGGTGTCCTACCACCCTGAAGCGCAGGGTGAAAGGGGCTTTGACTGGGGCAGAACACTGGCAAACCACACCAAGGTGGCGAGACGGCACAGGCACCTCACGGCAAGCCAGGTGTGGCAGCCGCCCCTCACCTGTGATGTGCAGCTGGTGCAGCCTGTGGTAGGCCAGGGCCGCGTCCCGGGCGCTGGTCTTCGCTTCGTCCTCAAAGCCTGCCGCGGTGGCTGGGGTGGTGCGCCGGCGCTGGAAGACCTTCTTGAGCAGCCAGCGCACCAGGCGCAGCTTCTGCAGGCTGTAGCGGATTATATTCCAGGAGAGACTGCAGGCCAGGTCCAGGCGGGAGGTAGGCAGTGCCCGGCCCAGAACTGACAGGCAGGTCTGTAGGTTGGCGGCAGCAGCTGCAAAATCCCCCTAGAAAGCAGCAAGAGGGTGTAATGGCCACTGCCTTGTGGTGGTCATTTTGCTTTCTTTTTAATAATTTTATTTTTGTTGTTGAGAATACATACAGCAGAACACACACAAATTCAACAATTTCTTCATGTACAATTCAGTGATGCTGACTATATTCTTCGAGTTGTGTAACCATTCTCTCCCCTTTGTTCCTCTCCCATTAACACAAACTTACTGTCCCATAAGGTTCCTATCTTTCAAGTTGCTGTTGTCAGTTTGACCCCATATAGATAGATCTTAAAATAGTACAATGCTCAAGGCAGACATTCTTTACTAATTAAGCTAAACTATGTTTAGTTTTAAGAAGACTTCAGAGGATATTTTTGGTTTAAGGTTTAAAGATTATCTCAGGACAGTATTTTCAGGGGTTCATCCAGCCTCTATGGCTCCAGAAAGTCTGGAGTCCATGAAAATTTGAAAATCTGTTCTGCATTTTCCCCCTTTTGATCAGGGTTCCTCTATGCAATTCTTGATCAAAACATTCAGTAACGGCAGCTGGGCACTACCAGTTCTTCTGGTCCCATGGCAAAGGAAGCATCTGTTCATGGAGGCACACATTTTTGGCTTTGTTTTTAATAAAAACTTTTATCTCCCCCCCTCATTATCAGAGTAATACATGGTCATCGAGGAAAATGTGGGAAACTTCAGAAAGCTACAAAAGAAGAAATTCCCCATAATCTCAGCCCCCAGAGAAAATCATGGTTGACCCCATGATGCATTTCCTCCCGGGCTTTTTATTAAACTGGGAGTGAGCTGGGTTCTGCCTGTCTTTCAGCAAATCAGGGCTTTGATTTCAGGTTCGAACCCCTGCTGAGAATTTGCATTTTTAACAAGTTTCCAGGTGATGCGAATGCTGCAGGTTAGGGACCAATTCTGAGAACCACTAGCAGAGCCAAACCCCACCAAACCTACTGCCTTTGAATTGATTCAGACTCATAGTGACCCTACAGAACAGAGTAGAACTGCCACATAGGGTTTCCAAGGCTGTCAATCTTTATGGAAGGAGACTGCCACATCTTTAACCACTGCACCACCAGGGCTCCTGCACTAGTAGAGCAGTGGTTCTCAAAGTTTATTATGCATAAGGATTACCTGGGGATCTTATTAAAATGCAGATTCTAATTCAGTACATCTGGGGCTGTAATGCAAATTCTCAGCAGGGGTTTGAACCAGAATGAACCAGGTCAAAGACCTGGAGCAAATACTGTTCAGTTTCCCACAGCAGCTTTTACACATAAGACGGTAAAAGATTTAGATGATGAACTAGATGATCTTTTAGGCTTTCAGGTGCTCAGCATATGGTTTCTGGAGACTAGTAGCATCAGTATCACGTGGGAACTTGTTAGATACGCAAATTCTCAGGCTCCACCCCGGACCTACTGAGTCAGAACCTCTGGGTTAAGGCCCCAGGGACTCTGATGCCTAGGTTTCAGGCAAACAAGTGGTAACCCTAGCTTAGCCCAGCATCTAGGTTAACTACTCTTTGCCAGCCTGGAGAGAGGCCTCTAGTAGAATCTATGGAATTGTGAGTGTCCAAGACCCCGATTGCTCTCTTTCTCTCAGTATGGAGGGCTAGAAGACTCAGGATACAAGATCTTGGGAAACCAAAGTCAATTCTCCTCTCCTTCCCCATCACGCCACAGGCGTACTATCTGTGCTTTGCTTCCTGCGCCATTATAGGAGCCGAAAACGTGGGTGACAACGCAACGAGTGGCGTCTTTGTTGCCAGAAGAAGCACCTATATTTAGACTCCAAAGCTGGCAGGCCTTTCTGTCTCCCACCCTGGCTCCTCTTCCCTTTCAACTGGCCCACCCAGTTCTCCCCATGCACCCTTTCCCTGCAGGAGTGCAGCTCCCGCACACTTGGGGCCTGACCCTCCTCAGCACCACGGCCTGCCTGCAGCGCTCCTCACTCCACATGGCCCTTTCCAGCACAGCAAAGCACATGGCCCAGCCTCCCTGTCTCTGAGTCAATGTCATTGTCACTTCCCTTGCCTTTTATATCTCAAATGTTTCTTGAATGCATACCTTTCCTATCATTTCCAGGCCCTTATCTGGCCTACTTCAGGAGCCCCCTAACCTGCTTCTGTGCATTTCCTGTCTCCCTCCTCCCATCCATCCTTCACAGCCACAGAAACACAGACCTGGGCCTGGCTCTAGGAGATGTGCCTTGGGATGCTCTTCTCTGGGAACAGCCCTGCTTCCTGGCATGGGCCCCAACAGTCACACCTATGTTCTAGAACCCTAGCCTGGTCATGGCTGACAGACCCAGATTGGTCAGTCACACTCTCTATGGTGGGCACTGCAGCTTGGGGGCTGGTGGGGGGTGGGGGGGAGCAGGCCCATGGCTTCCTGCTGCTGAGCATGTTCTGGTTCTGGTGCCCCTGATGTTCAACTTTTCCTTCAATGCTGTGAGCTGCCCCCAAAATCCTTCCATAAACTCTCCTCAGTTGATTTAAAAAAAAAAAAAAAAAACCAGCTAATTCACCCACTCAGAAACCTTCCTCGGTTCTCCAGAGAATTGGGAATGAAGCCCCAAATCAGTTACTACTCAAAGTCCTCTCCACTTGGGGCCCTCGCTATCCTGCCAGCCTTAGGCTTTCGTTTCTCCTTGACACATCCTACATTCTAGACACACCATCTACTTGCCAGTCTCCAAATATCTCTCTCTTCAAGCCATGCTCTCCACTTGGAAGGTCCTTCTGCCATGTCCACCTGCTGCAGTCCTTCCTACCCTCTCAGCCAGAACTTATCTGTTCTGCCACAAACCCCACAGCCCTTTATTCTTCCTGTCACTCTGCAGACTGTAGATCATGTGGGCCTATGGAGTTATTTCTGCACAGGAGCTCTTCCTCCTCTCGGCCACCACAGGCACCTCCCACAGGACTTTGTACACAGTGGGGACTCAACACAAGCTACTGAGATACGGGGCTGAGCCTCGGGGAGGGAGGGGAAAGGCAGATGGCAGAACTCACCCTAGCGAGGTCCAGGTCTGCTTGCTTCCGGTGCCTCCAGAAGGTGACTGAGGAGCGAGAGTGTGGTTGGATCACTGGCTCCCCGTGGACCAGCAGCTTCACAAAGACGCTCAGGACAATCACGCCATTGACCAGCCATAAGAGGAGCGTTGGCATCATCCAGTCAAACCAGCCCCCAGAACCTAAAAGGAGCATCTTGGCTGAGCCCATGAGGAAGGGCTTCCTGAGACGGCCCTGGGAGACTGCATGGCAGCTGACTGACCCCAGAGTTGTGACACGAAAGAGCCTCATTTTCAGAAGAAAGGGTAGGATCACAAGATTTGCTTCATTTAGTAACAACAACTAGGTGCTTGGGATAGGAGTAATCTATACACTTTAATCCACACTTCAGGCATGTTTGGAATAATTTTACAGCTTATGTGGGAGCCCTGTTGCCCTTGTCTTTATGGAGCTGAGTGTCACAAAAATCTTTGTTAGTCAAAGGTCATTAGGACACTGGCTTCACAACTCAGGTGAAAAACCCCACATCCTTCCTCAAACAGGCCCCTCCCTTCCACCCCAGGGTAATTATAGCAGTGCAGGTTCCTGATTTGTTTTGTTCTTTCTGACCAAACTTGGGTTCGCCTTACTTCCCAAATGTGACCTATCAGAAGCAGGCAGGCGGGGCCCACACCAGGGTTTTGCACACAGGCCCTTCCCTGCCACTGCAGTCCAATGCGCCCAGCGCCACCAGGGCCTCCACTCACCTGACTCAAAAGATAGTACGCTGCGGCCAGAGCCTGCGTATGGGTGCTGGTTCGAGTCATGGGCACCTCCCCACTGCAGCAGGGACGTCAGGGGGTTAAAGGAGAGGCACAGGAAGGTGAGGAAACACAGCAGAATTCGCGAGCGGTCCACCATGCCCAGGGCCACAGGAGGAGAGTCCGGCTCATCTTTGACCTGAAATCAGAACCGTGAGGTCTGAATGAGCACTGTGCGGGCTTTATGGCATTTGACTTTTACATATATTGGGAAACCGCCTGTGAAGGTTAAATTCAAGGCCAGAATCAGACAGGAATAAACCAGGAGGACACACAGTCCAGGATTCACGGGCTGCTGCTCCAACACTGGCGTGTCTGCCCTCTTGCTGACAGGAAAAGACAGATGAGGCCTCCTAAGACCAAAGGCAGGAGAGTCTGCCTTTAAAAACAAGAGTTGTAGCACAAAACAGAACACACTGTATGATTTGTTTCTATGAAATTTCAGAACGAGGAGATTTAATTCAAGTGACACAAAACGTATTCGTGGTCACCTAAGGCTGGAAAGGGGTCTGTGAGCCCCCTGCTAAGATTATGAAGGAGCTTTTTAGGGTGATGGAAATGTTCCACATCTTGATTGTAGTGATAGTTACAAGTGTTTATATTTGTCAAGATTCAGCACACTGTACATTTAAAACAAGTGTATTTTACTGCATATAAATTACATCTCAATAAAGCCAATTAAAGACATAACACCCCCCAACCATTTCAGGGAGGGAAAACTGAAGGCAGAGCCCTATTCACCCTGCCCCCTAGGCCTGGGGATCCCACAAGAGGGAGGGATGAAGGCTGGAGTTGGTCTCTCCTGAGTGCCGATGTGTACCTACCCCGCCACTCCTTTTCAATAGTTAAAACCATTCAGGAATTTCTTCTGATGACCCAGTTGTTGTTGTTAGTTGCTGTGGAGTCAATTCCCACTCATGACGACCCCATGTGTGCAGAGCAGAACTGCTCCGTAGGGTTTTCAAGGCTGTGACCCTTCAGAAGCAGATCGCCAGCCTGTCTTCTGAGGTACCTCTGAGTGGGTTCCAACTGCCAACTTTTCAGCTAGTAGCCGAGCGCTTAACCGTTTGTGCCACCCAGGGGCTCCAGAAGCCTAGCTAATTCTACTTACATATCAAATGGCCTGTTGTTACAAAACAGAATCACATTTATAAAATATTTCAAAAGTAGAGCTTCCTCAGTAAAATTAAGAACATGTCTGCAATAAACAGTTTGGTTAAAAACATTCACTACAAGGGGACTTCGTGCTTTCCAAGCCAGAAATTGCCGACGTAAAAATACAGCACAGAACCCAGCGGTCTCCAGAGCTCCCCAGAAAATCACCAGGCTGTCAGCCTCTTTTAACCAACTCCATTAAACCACAACCGTTAGGGGCTTTCTTTGACTATAAAAGACATTTGGTTTGAATGTTATCTGTTAGACTGCAAACTGTAATCATTTCCAGAAAGAGGACCCAGAGGCAGCCTCATCCTAAACCAACTGATCAATCTCACAAAGTGATCTTGCCAGGCCCATTACGGGCAGAGGGAAGTAATGAGGCGCCTCTGGCAGCTCCCTGGGCCCACACCTGCTGTGTGTCCCATTTTGGATTCGGCTCTTATTCCTCTCTGATGGGTCACTATTCGTTGGAATCGACTCCACAGCAATGGGTTTTTATTATTTTGGGCCCTTTCAGCAAGAACCAGTTAGACCTGAGGGCTTGTTTCTCCCCAGGGTCATTTTCTCTTTGCTCATTCTCCAGGACCTGGCTCACTTCACAGAACTCCTGCTCCTCTCCAGCCCAGGTCCACTGAGCCCGGTCTCAGCCCGTTCTGTGGCCTCCACACTGTTTTCTCAGAGATGGAGAGAGGCCGGGGGCCAGGGCTTTCAAAAGCCCATACCTTTGCATCATCCAACAGAGGACTTCCTGGCTCAGAGTCGATGGAGTATGGAGAGAAGCCGGCCTGGGATCCCGAGTCTGAGGCTGGGGGCGACATCAGGAGGACGTTCTGATTAAAGTCATCAATCTTCAGGTCCATGTCATTGTCCACCAGGCTGCCTAGGTCGATGCCCTTCAGGAGCTCTGCAAAGAAACCCCACCTGGTAAACGGTCTGTTTTTACAGAGTCCCACCTGGGCCAGGGGCACGTGGTACCGCCCCCCCCCCCCCGCTTCACCCCAAGGGTCCCGTGCATGTCTGTGGGCCCGCCACAGTGCCCAGCATGGGGCTCTCCCATAAGTGACAGGCTGGAGCCCTTGCCTCGATGAGCTCACTCACTGTTTCTCTGATTTGCCAGCTTCAGCACCATGTTTTCCTGGCGCAGTTTATGATTGACCTGCTGCAAGTATTTGATGTAATCAATGGCCTTCCTCAGAACGCCAGACTTGTGCATCTGGGAACGGAGACAGGCGAAAACCAAGTAAGGTCACTGCTGAGCGCAGAGCCTGCCGCCCAGGAAGAGCTTGGGGTTGGCAGCCTGGTGCTGGAGTGGGAGGCTCTGCTACCCAGGACAAGTTACTTGATATCTCTGAACCTCACCTCCTCCCCCTTAAAATGGGGAGAATGAGAGGGTGTGGCTCGCAGGCCTGCAGTGAGGGCTAATGAGACAATCCACATGTAGTGACACTCGATAAACAAACATTAGCCATCATCCCCATTTCTTATGATAACACTGTTTCCAAAACAAACTTAAAGGAAACAAAGGACTAACAAAACATCAGAACATTCTTGGATGGTTACCTTAAGTAAAGGTTCGTTAGTACCTTTAAGATCAGTAGGCTACAAGGAAAATAATAAAATTCTTTTTCAAAATAGGGGACAAGGTAAACAGGTAAGAGGTAAAATATCCTAGATAAACAGATAAGAGATAAAAATACCAAAAATATGTGGAAAATCAATTTCTTCTATTGCTATTGGTTAAAGACCCAATCTCCACTTTCTCTCTCTCTTCCCTAAAAGGTACAAATAGCCACTCCTGAACACAACTGAAAATATGCCAGCAATGCCATCAGCTGACTCCAAGGTATACACAGTCCTGCACCTGGCTCCGGGTGTGTGGCAGCTGTCTGTCTCTGCCTGTGACACTGGGGCCCGTAACACCTGCAGAGTCAAAGGTTGCAGTGCAGTTGATTACTTAACATGGCCCTTCTAACCACAGTCTTGTAACTATCATTAAATGACTGGGTGGAACTAGGCAAATAAGGTGCATGGCACCCTTGTAGGGGTGGGACCATGAAGATAAGGTATATGGAACCCTAAAAAGGGGACTGGTCAGTTTTGCTACCCTGCTAGACTTAAAATGAGCCATCCCAGAGGTGGACAGGGGAGACCTGACTACCACCAAGACAAAGAGATGTGAGCGGAGCATCTTCTTTGGATCTGGAATCCCTGCGCTGAGACCCTCCTAGACCCAGGAGACAGAGTCAAAGAGCTGTAATACCACAGACGGCAAGACAGCAAGAAGCAGAGGCAGAAGAACCAGGAGACTGGCAGGAGATGGCACAGTGAGCTTCCCAGCCGATTAAGCGAGAAACTCAGTGCCTTTGGGCAGGAGGCCTGCTGGCAGAGTGGGGTGCCTCTGGGCACGTGGTGGAACTAGGCTCCCTGACCCTAGTGAGAAAGCTGAGCGCCTTTGGGTCGAGGCTTACTGGTGGGATAGGGTGCCCCCAGGCACTTATTGGTGGACTCAAAGAGTTTTGTAACACTTCCCTGAGCAGGGCAGGGGCTGGGCCGAGGGGCCGAGAGGCCAAGGGCCAGGCAGAGGCCTACCTGTGGGCACGGCTAAGAAGCTGTCCTCATCAGATGACCTATATACTGAATTGTAACCTGTTACTTCGCTAATAAACCTCATAACTGTGAGTATGGTCTGTGAGTTCTGTGTGGTCATCCGTTGCAATGAATTATTGAACCCAGAAGAGAAGCAGACAGTGCATGGGAGGGATGGCTAGTATCAGAACTGGTAAAAAGTTTGGAGAGTGGAGGTATGTCTGACCTCCACCTCACAGCAATCAGCCTTGGGCTGCTGAAGCTGATAATGATTTTCTTTCCCCTTGCAAGGTTAGGAGGAGCTCAGATGCCTCCTTCACACCATTTTTACAAAGGTCGAGGCAGGTCACTACCCTTTCAACCCTCAACAGTTCCCTCACGTTGGTTAATGTTTTATAATCTTGACAAGTGCCAAGATGCTTTAATAAGAAAGCACCTCTAACTCCTTGCATTCACTAAACTCAGGCCTGGAATGTGTTCCATCTTTCCTAAACCCCACGGCAAAGACAGGTAGCAGGGAGAGGGTGGGGCGTGAGGCACCATTTTGCTTGGCACCTACCTTGGCATCTGTCCCCATGACTAGGTCCTTTAACTCTATGATTTTGTCGTTAATGGAGGAGCGATACCGCTTCTCAATGATGTTGTGTGTTGTCCGCCTTTCTCCTTCTTTGGGGGGCTCCAGCTGCTTGATTCCCCCAGGTACCTGCTTAATGGGCACTTTCTCCTGCCCCATCATCACAGGCATTGTGGTCAGAATGGTCCCATTGCTGCCCACCAGGGTCTAGAACAGGTACAGGGACAGAATCACACCTTCAGTGGTCTGAGCAAAGCAATCTCACGACATAAACCTGCTGGCCCCTGGCCACGTGGCATCACTTGGCAATGCTTCATGCAGCCTGAGACCCTTCCAGGTTAGTTAAGTCAGTCCCCAAGAAGCCTCAGGGGCCACCACAGAACCTCAGCCACTAGCTCCCTTCCAGAACTGCTGTCAGTAAATTACAACACAATAGGGTGAACATCTAAATATGTCTTCAACTTTGATGGAGGGGTGCCAGAAACAAGTCACATGACTTCTGCTTTGCTGTCAAACTGTTAACCACCTCTCGGCCATACACAGTGTGCCTCAGGCACCAGGACACTTTCTCCTGGTATCTGACACATTTTTCCTCTCAGGTGACAATCAAGGAACTTACTGCATTTCCTTATACAATCTGGCCACCAAAACACTCAGGGCAGACGCTCTCAATCCAAGCAATTTTATTAAATAAACCAGCCAACCACACAGGTTACCCCCTTTTTTCTCCTCAACCCTGCTTTCCCCTCTTTTTGTTTCCCTTTTTACTAATTTTTAGTTTTATTTTCTTCAAAAAAATGGCTTCAATATCCAAACGGCCAATAAATAAAAAGTGCTCATCATCACTAGTCATCAGGAAATAATTTACACATAATAAAAATACACAAATCCTAAGGGTGCAGCTTGTTGAGTTTTTATGTAGGTATACACCTGTGTAACCGCCCAGTGTACGTTAGAGACCATTTCCATCCCCTCAGAAAGTTCTCTCATGCCCCTTGCCAGCCAATACCTGCCCCCACACCCCGTAAGCACTGCTCTGGCCTCTGTTACTATAGCTTAATTTTGCCTCTTTTTGAACGTCATAGAAATGGAATCATTAGCACAAAACTCTTTTGTGATGGGCTTCTTCTATCGCTCAACATACTACTTCTGAAGTACATTCCTATTGTATGTATGAATAGTTCTCTTACTTACTGCTGGGCATAATTTCATTGTATGAATCTATCATAATTTATCTTTTCTCCTGCTAATAGACCTTTGGGTTGTATCTAGATTTGGGCTTTTCTGAACAAAGCTAGTATTTTCAAATCTGAACTTCCTTTTCTTCTACCTACAGGGTTGCTGAGTTGGAACTGACTCGTCCGCAAGGGGTTTGGTTTATTTTTTTCTATCAGACTCTCTTGCCTTAGGAGACTGAGAGTAGCAGAAAGCCCACACCTGAAGGACAGGGTGCCTCCTGTGTCCCTCACCTTGGAGCTCCTCCCTGCCTGGTGGCCCTTGTGTCCTTCAGAAGCCAAACCTCCACCAGCAGGACCTAAGAGGCAGGTGGCCCTGGGCAGAGCTGCTGCCCAGGAACTGGGGCTCCTCTGCTGTTCTCCCCTCCCTGTGTGAGCCCCCAAACCCAAACCCACTGTTGTTGAGTCGATTCCGACTCATAGTGACCTTATAGCACAGAGTAGAACTGCTCACAGGGTTTCCAGGGAGCAGCTGGTCGATTTGAACTGCCGACCTTTTAGTTAGCAGCCAAACACCTAACCACCGCGCCACCAGAGCTCTGTATGGGCCCCAGTACTACCATATAACACACATTGGTGGTACTTTTCAAAGAAAAAAATATTAAAGAGGGGTGGTGACATTTGCAATGTGACTGACAAAGTCTTTAGCACAGAAGATACCCACTCAGCACACAGAGACTCTGTGACCCTCCCAGGGCCTAGCACCTCTAGAAAGGAGGCGAGAGGAGGCCGGGGGGCAGGCTGCTCTTACTGGTACTTGCAGAGCAGCTGTCTGGATGGGGGTGGTGAGGGCGGTGAGGGCCGGGTTCTGGACCGCAGCCATGACGGGGCTACCATCTGTCTTCAGTGTGGTCAAAACAAGGGAATCTGTCTTGATGATCTGAGGCTGTACCAGGACCTGGACGGGGAGGAAGAAAAGGGAAAGGAAGGTCAGGTTATCTTTCTATTTTGTATTTGTTTTTTACTGCACAGATGTTCCAAGAAAGAATAAGAAAAGATAATTTTCATGAAACAGAATAAAAAAAAAAATAACAGGAAAACTCACAGAAGCCCATTTTCTAGAGCTGTCTATTTTGAACAACTTGGATTCTGGGGTGAGGGGCAGAAGAAGGTATAGCTGAAGAAGGTTCTGGGTTTTAGGCTGAAAGTCTCCAAGGAGAGTGACCAAGAGGCCGAGTGGGACAGGCTGGCGGAGGGGAAGGGAGAGACATCTGATTCTGGACAGACACGCTAAGGAAAGCCGGGCACCTGGCTGAGGTACAAGGATGACACACCTAGGTGGTGGGGGTGGGTAGTGGTGGTGGTGATTTATTTTGTTTTAAGATAAATGACTTTGTCTAGTAAGCAAATACAGTCCACTATGATACAAGACTTAATTTTTTCTCAGATTGTAAGAGTAATACATGCTCAGCATCCACTGTAGAAAATATGGAAAAGGGAAAATTATAAAGAAGAAAATCAACTGAAAGATAACATTTTGGCCCATTTCTTTCCTGTTGTATCTATAATGTCCCATCGATGTCTTATACAAGCTGTCTTTGCCCGTTTGTGTGTAAACAGTTGACAACCTCACTCACCCAGTGCGTGCGAGCGCCCGCGTAGAGTGCCGACGTGACTGGGTCTCTAGACCCAGTGCTCACTGTGCACCCTAGGGCCCAGTGCTCCTAGCCAGCCTGAGGAGCCGTTCCTTGTACACTGTGGCTGGTCCTTCGTAGACGTGGACCACATCTTCAATTAGGGACCCGCCAACAGCCCCAACCTGTGCCTCCTTGAATCCCTGCCAAACACCTACCGGGACCTGCTGCACCTGGGGAGCGGCCACCGTCTGCACCGTGGCAGGGGCCAGGGTCTGCAGTGTGCCATTGGCCGTCTGCGTCAGCACCCGCTGGGCCTGGACCGTCTGCACCTGCTGCTGGATGGCGACCGGCTGCACCTGGGAGGACGTCACCAGGCTTTGGACTTGAGGCTGAAGGACTTGGGAGAAGAGGAGAAAAAGTCACGCGGCCCAGGAGTGCGTCGTCCCTGTCATAGCAGCATTAACCGGAGGGTGGGTTGCCTCTGGAGTCCAACCCCCACCTACTGCTGAGAAGATGCACATGGCCATTTACAAGCTGGTCTAGATACCAAGAATATCCCCGAAGGGCTGCATCCATCTCTGAGGGAACGAGTACAAATGATTTCATTACTCTGCAAGCTGGGGAGGGGGGCGAGGGAAGCTTATCAGCAAATGACTGCTCCCAGCGGGTGGGCCACTGATGTTCTGAGTCAACAGTGCCTGGGGCTTCCCTGCCTCAGTCCTGTCTGGGTACAAAGTGTACTTTGGGAAGGCTGTCTCACTCCCCGCGCACCCCAGAATCCTCGAAGACTACTGCGGAGCTCCGTCGGACTCTGAAATTCAGAGCAATACCAGCTCCACCCCGGGCTCCCCCAGCTCAGAGGGAAACAACAAAGAGGCACTGGAGTACAGGTCCACGCAGAGAGCGAGCCTCTGTCAGCCACCCGCTCACTCAGCACACCCTGAGGGCCACTGGGAGGCCTGCTACTCAGATGGAGCACCTAGACTACAGCTTGAACGTGTCTCCAGCGTGAGTGCTCAGATGTCTACAGAATGAATGGTTCACGACTATGGGTGCTGAGAATGGGCTGCTGACTCAGCAAAAAGGTGGGCAAGTTTTGAGCCTACTTTTTTTCAAGCCTCACCCTCCAGTTACCAGGATGACCCTCCGTCTACTATGCTTGCCGGCGTCTTTGACTGAGTGTCACGGAGGAAGGCACGGTTTGAAGAGGCAGAATGTGAAACATTCCTGTACCACCGTTCTCACCGCTAGTTATTAGACTCATTCAGACAGGGCCCAGGTGATGAGGTCTGTACCCCCAACACGACAGGGCTATTTACAGCCTGCCTAGTAAGTGTCTGAAAACTGGCACACAAATGTTTCCACCAGCCAGTCTCCCTCACACCTGACTTGGGAGTCACCTTGAAAGCTGGTAGCTGCATTCTGGTAGATCAGAGGCTGCTGGATGATCCTCGTCTGGGGGGCGGTGCTGAATGTCGGGGTGATCATCACTGTCTGTTGCTGTAGCTGAGCTTGGGGTTGAGGCTGGGGCTGCGGGCGGGGCTGAAGAACAGGAGTGGCCCTCGGGGGAGTGGGGACCGTGGTAGGGGGAACCTTGACCTGCAGGGCAGGAGCCTGGGGGGAGGCGGCCGAGGGAGAGAAGGAAGGCAAGGGGACCTGGCTGAATGACCGCTGCATTGAGTGGTCCACGGCTCCACTGCCACTGCCCCCGCCACTGCTGCTGCCGCTGCTGCCATTGGAACTTCCACCGCCAGCAGGGAAGGAGCTACACAGCTGCTCGGAAAACAAGTCCGGGAATTCTCCCACTTGATTGCTGACAAACTGCAGCATCTCTGTGAACAAACGAAAAGGGGACTTTTATTGCCATCCAAAGTATCTACTAACTTTCAAATTTGCCTAAGAAACCATGGCATGAAAGTCCAACAGCCTTCCCAAGACCATGCCAGAAATGGGTCAGGAAGTCCTCAGCGCCCTCTCGGGTAGAGGTCACCTGGGTCAAGAACGGCCAATCAAGGGCCCTGGGACAAAGGGACAGGATTTCCTCTGTTTGATGTTCTTTCCTCTCCTCTCCCTCACCTCCGAGCCCTTTCTATGCACTTTCCTGATTGATTTTATCAGTGATAATGGGTGCTATTTCTGTACCAGGTAGGTGTTGCTTCATGGAGGGTATTGCTGGCCCCATTTTACAGCTGGGGGCACTGAGGCAGAGAGTGGGCAATCACTATACCAGGGTCTTGGAGCTGTGAGGCCACCTCCACTCTCAGCAGTGCCCCCAGGGCAGACCCGCCTCTCCCAGCCCCAAGCAGCCTCTCCTCCTCACCCTCAGTGGCCCTGGGCCGTCTCCATCAGTGGTGTTAAGCCCCATGGGTATAGCCCCAGGCACCCTCAGTGCCTCAGGGACACTCAGGGACAATGAAGTTGCTGGCCCTTGGGTCATGGATCTTTAGGGGTAGAAAAAAAATGGACAGATCATAGATCTTTCATATAAAGATCATATATGAAATCCAGAACAGGGAAATAACTTGGGCAAGGTCAGGGCACAGTCAGGATCAGCGCTAGTTCTCTGCTTCCAGCCTTGTGTTCTTCCGCACCACGCTGTACCAGTGGATGGGCAGGGCAACTGGCCTGGGCACCGCCCCTGGAAGGCCCCTCTGGTCCTCCTCTGGCTGTGCAAGAAGTCTGTGTGGCCAAGGAATCTGTCTACCTGGAGGCCCTCCCTTCTAGATCAGGCTCTGGGTACCCAGAACCCCCGCCTTCCTGGCCCAAATGGCCTCTAAGCCTGCTTCCGAGTCTGCAAAAGCCTCTTCCCTGGTCTATCCTCCCAGTGGTTTACCAAAACCCAACTTAACCCACCACTAACAACTCATCTCTCACGACACCATCCTCTTCTTAGGGCTGGTCCCCATTAGCAGTCTAGGTCCTCAACTTAGTCCCAGGTGTTTTCAGGCTTACAACTCTCAACCTCCCCTTTTCTCCCCAGCGTACTCCCAAGAAGCTACTGCTTGCTCCTGGACTGTGACACCCTCCCCTACGAACCTGAAGGCCATAGGGGGGAGAGAGACAGAGAGAGAGAGAGGTCTGAAGACTGTATGTCAGGCAAGCAGAAAGCTCCTGGGGGTTTCTAGTGTGACCTCCACGTAGAGTAACTAGAGCTTAGCATTTCCGCACCTTAAATTTTGATCAGTTCAACCCGCTGGACAAAACAGCATCTCACAAGCTTAAACGACTACACTCTGGTACTATTTTTTAACACCTTGACACTCTGCTCTGTCCTTACCTAGCCTGTTGTGTGTGGGAGGGAGAAATGGGCAGATTGCCTCAGATACTCGTACCAACCAATTCCAACTCCTCGTACGTGATTTAAGCTACAAACTGTCCTCAAACTCTGCACAAAATTTAAACAAAACACAATTCAATGCTGACATTCCAAGTACAACACAAGATTATAAGAAGCCTTATGAAAATGATTCAGAGTAATAATTGGTCGAGTCTTCCAGAATTCCCAAAAGATCCCAAATCTCTGGGAAATCAACAGAGGTCTGCTTTGTGAGCCAGAATTCACACACTGGCTACTTCCATTTTTTGAATCCACGGAAAGCTAAGGAGGTCAGAAGGCAAACGAGGCCAGGGTAGCCCCGTAGACGGGCATAGGCTTTGGTGCCAGGTGGGCCTGGGTGTGTCTCGAGGCCATCTAACTAGCTGTGAGAATGGGGTCAGTTACGTCTCCCTACACCTCGGTTTCCTGACCACACAAGGCTGCCTGGAGAATACTTACTTGGCCTCTTTGTCATGAGGATTAATAAAATAATTTATGCCAAGTGCTTGCTGAGGGCAGGCCCTTATAAGGGTCCCTATTAGTGGTACTTCTAGAGCACCCACTACAAGGGCACTTTGCTACACTTAAATCTTATCTCGTTGAGTGCTCTCGAGAACCTTCTGTGGGGAAGACATGGGCTCAGCGTGGTGAAGTAACCTGCAGAGGTCACAAAGCTTATCTCACAAAGCAGGCTAAGAGAGTGTAGGCAGATGGAACAGGACTGCTTAAATTGAAAAAATAAAATAAAGATCCTTTTCAGCCCACGCACAAAAAGCTGCAATGGAGCTATCTCCAGGCAGCCGGGTACTGGGCTGAGGGGTGCTGAGTGGCCATTAAGACAGAGCATTTGAAGGAAGAGGCTCTTTGAGCCTCTGTTCCACAGGGTGTGCATGGTGGGATTGCTCCCCACGGTGTCCTCTCTGGGACCCCATCTGGTCTGCAGTAACAGAGACACGCCCTGGCGCAGCTGTGCACTGTAACTCCGAGCTACGCCACGTGAGAGCGTTCTAACGACTGTCTCCTTGCTGTTCCCTGCTCCGATCATTCGTATTCTGCAATTACACAGGCTCTCATTTCCAGAGAGAGCCATGGAACCCAGAAAAAGGCAGGCCCGGGAGAAGGCATGGGTTTGATGGAGCCTTGAAAATGAAGCCCTGGTTCCTGCACGATGAGGCGCAGCCCACGGAGCTGAGGCCAGAGGCAGGCCTCCTGGGAGCGAGGCAGCCACCCCCAGGCCTGCCAACCCCAGCTGGCCTCGCAAGAGGGCTCCTGGTGGCCACCTTCCTGCACCAAGCCACGTTCCTGTTTTTAACGGCTTCTTAAACTGAGGCTTAAGTTATTTCATAGAGTGGGCCAAGCCCCAAGAAACAACACTTGAGTTTTGGTCTCTTTAAAAGCAAGCAACCAAAATTAAAGGCTCCGGCCACTGCAATCAACCTTGAGCCCCCACCCAAGAGCCCCAAGTCCACACGTTCCGGGAGGCAAGACAAATCACTCTGCCTGGTTCAGCCTCGCAGCATCTACCGGAGAGTGAGGCAACCTGCAGTCTGGTCTGACTGATTCTCGCCAGGGAATCTGAGGCACCCAAGTGGGGCAACAGTGTCTCAAAACTGGGAGAACTATTTGACAAAGGTCATTTATTCTTATATTTTGTATTTATTAGCTACTTTGCGTTAGACAATGTTTTAAAATACCTTTCCTTTTAAAAATCATAAAAGTAACATATTTACTATTGAAAAATTCAGAAAATAGTTCAACGAAAAGAACAAAAAGTAAAAATCATCCAGCAATTCCACCACCCTGAGACATCCATGGTCAATGTTTTGATGTGTGTCCTTGCAGACTTTTCCTACAAGGCTTGCCTGCACACACAGGCCGGCATGTGCCTGCAAATGGTTTTGCACAAACGGGATCATGCTGAAGATGCTGTTTTGTACCCTGCTCCCTTCGCTTCATAAACCACAAAGAGCCTTCACGGTCAAGCATTAGAGATGTAGCATCAGCCTCTTGAGAGCCTCACAGTGTTATATCAGTGCACATCAATGCACTAGAATCTGTTTAGCCACTCAGTAATGACGGCTGGTTGCTTTTCAATTTTCAGAATTATTAAACGCTTTAAAAACCTTACACAAAAATCTTTTCCCACTTATCTGATTATATACATATTTTTTAAATGATATTTTATTGAGTTTTTGGTGAAAGTTTACACAGCTAGTTAAGTTCCCATTTGACAATTTCCACCCATACTATTCAGTGACATTAGTTAACATTTTTCACAAAGGGTCAAGATTCTCTTTAACTGCGTTCTGGTTGTTCCATTTTCAGTACTCTAGTTTCCCTGCCCCCTTATCTTCTCATCTTTGCTTCGGGTTAAATGTCGACCTTTTGGACTCATACAGATGGTTTTCTAGTAGTGCATCATTCTTACAGGTAATATCTTTTATTTTGTGTGCCATTCTGCTATTTCACTAAAAGGTGATCTTAGGGGACAGTCTCAGTCCAAGGTTTAAAAAGTGCCTCAGGGTAATAGTCTCAGGGAGTCCTCTGGTCTCAACTGGTCCAGTTAGTCTAGACTTTTTAAAGAACTTGAGTTTTGTTTACATCTTTTTCTCCTTCTATCTGAGACCATCTATTGTGACCCTGGTCAGAAGGGTCAGTGGTGGTAGCCAGGTACCATCTACTTACTTCTTCTTATCTCAGGGTAGATGAGGCCGTGGCTCATCTGGTTACCTTCTTAGGCTAAACGTCAATTTTAGATGGCTGGGCCAAACGACAGGCATGTGTGCTTTGGAAATGTAGTAATTTCTGCTGCTACTCGCATTTCTACACATCGAGCCCACATCTATGTCTGTCAATCTGATGGCGGAATAAAACGACATGTAGTTGTTTTGACTTGTATGACTGAGTACTAATAAGGCTGAACGTCTTTTTTTTTTTTGCCTTTCAATTTTATTGGTATTTATATTTCTTCTTCTATAAATGGTCTGCTCTTGACCTTTGTCCATTTTTCTGTTGGGCTTTTCTATTGGGCTTACTGCTTTGAAAAACTTCCATGTATTGTGGAATTTGCTCATTCGTACATGTTTGCCAGCGGTCCCCCCCTTTGTTATTTCTCTTTTAGTTTGTTCAGGAGGAAGAATGGTGCAGTGATGAAGAGCAGCCAGGAACCAGCCTTCGAACCTCGGGTAAGTTTTACTTTCTGAGTTGGTTTTCTCATCTGTAACGTGTGGCTAACAATTGTACCTAACTCATGGGGTTGTTGAGACAATTCATGTTGTGTCTACAGCACAGTGCCTGATACTTAGTATCAGCTAGTATGTATTATTCATGGTGTTTTTGACAGTTTTGCTTTACCTCTTGTTTTGAAAACGTAAATTTGTTCCAATGTGATGGATATATTAGAGAACAATTTGAGCATAATATGAATTTCATGGGGTGGCACAGTGGTTAAAGCGCTCAGCTGCCAACCCAAAGGTCGGTGGTTCAGAACCCACCAGTCCTCCGCAGGAGAAAGAT